TTCTATGGAAGTAGATTGCCCAACCATCCTCCTTCTGAAGAATGGCTGGTGGGTTTGACCTGCTAACCAGCAGTCAAATGCCTTAGGCACTACACCACCAGAGCTCCCATACAACTCATAGAGAATAGAAAAAGAGGAAACCACATTGTTTGAGGCCAACATAAATAAAATCAGTATCAAAAATCAAGTTGGTAGGAAATTCCAGACAACTCATGAATACCTATATAAAAGAATCTTAGCAAAGTGGTAGTAAACCAAGTAATTTTTATGCAAACATAATTATAATTTATATGAATATAATTTAAGCTCTACGATGTATGGAGTTTCTTTAAACTGATCAAACTTAATGAGTGAAAAAAAAGAAAAATTTGTTTGATATTGATATTGATAACTTTGATATTGATAACTTCCAAGGATGCTTTCTATTATTGCTTCCTTTTAGGATTGTACTAGAGTTCCTATTTAGCATAGCAAGGGAAGAAAAAGTAAAAGATGTAAGGATTAAAAAGAAAGAGACAAAAACTCTCATCAATTATAGCTAATATGGCTGTTGTTGTTGTTGTTGTTATGTGCCGTCGAGTCGGCCCCCTGACTCATAGCGACCCCTCCTTGGGTTTCCAAGGCAGTATCACTACGGAAGTAGGATTGCCCAACCTTCCTTCCGAGGAGTGGCTGGTGGGTTTGAACCGCCAGCCGTCTGGTCAGCAGGCAAGTGTCTTAGCCACCATGCTACCAGAGCTCCCAGCTAATATGACTAGATATGTAAAAAATTCACCAGAACCTCTAGACACTTTATTAAAGAGTTCAGCAAGAATACTGTACATAAAATGAACTTGTAAATATCAATGTTATTCCAGTACATCAGCAACAATCAGAAAATGAAATTTTAAAAGATGCCATCTTATGTGCACACAACAGAATACCACTCAGCAATAATAATAAAAAAAGAAAAATTACATATGACAATACGTATTGATATACGCACACACACACACACACACACACACACATATATATATATATATATATATATAAAGTTAAGAGGGGAAAAAAAGCCAGATACAAAGGAACATATATTATCTTGACCATTAAATTAACCTGCACTGTTAAGAAAAGAAATGAAATTATAGGAATTTTTAAGTGATGGAAATGTTCTATATATTCATTTGGGTGGTGATCACATTGTTAATTCATGGAAATACCTTGAACACTTAAAATCTGTACATTCTATTATATTTAAATTGTCTTATATCGATAAAAATAGGTAAACAAGATACTACAATGGAGAGTGAAACTGTACTCTTTTCTCACCCCATACATTAAAAAGAGTTCCAGGTAGACTAAAGACCTCAATTTAAAAGGCAAAACTAGAAAACCTTTAGAATATTATGTTGTTGTTATGTGCCGTCAAGTCGGACCGACTCATAGAGACCCCTCCTTGGGTTTCCGAGGCAGTGTCACTACGGAAGTAGATTGCCCAACCTTGCTTCTGAGGAGTGGCTGGTGGGTTTGAACCTCCAGCCTTCTGCTTAGCAGTCAGTGCTTTAGGCACTACGCTACCAGAGCTCCTTAGAATATTATAGAACACTATTTTCATGACATTTTGGGTAAAGGATGATTTCTTGAATAGGACTAAATAGCAATAACCATAAGGGAAAAGATGCAAGATTCAGCTATACTTAAAAGTTACTACAAAGAAAATACAGAGGAAATTCACAGAGAATAAAACAATATTTGTGCCATAATTAAATAACGAAGGACTACAATACAAACAAAACTTCTAGATTTCATTAAAAAAAAAAAAAAGCCATCCCAATAGAAAAATGGCCAAAACACTTGAATGTGCAATTCATTCAAATAGAATTCTAAAGAGTCAAAAAGTACTGGAAAGGAGAGAGAATTATATAATAAGCAGAGAAATGCAAATTGAAATTATGGGGGAATATCACGACAAAACAAATACATTAATAAAACATTTGAAAAATCTAATAAAACTAATATTTCTTGAGAACATAGGGCAATGAGAACTTCCCTGCACTGCTGTTGGAGTGGAAATTGTTAAAACTCCTACAAAAATGGATTTGCAATTATCTAGTAAATTTCAATATATACTTTTCTATCAACTCCTAAGCACAAAAATTAAAGAAATATATGAACAAGTGCAAGCATATATACCCAAGTTGTATGTCCAAGAATGTTTATAACAACATTGCTTATAGAAAATCAAAGGCATCTGGAAAAATCTAGGATAAGATGGACCACAAGGACCTCAGCCTTCATGACCTTGAGACAAGAACTAGATGGTGTCCAGCTACCAATGCCAACCACTAGGAAAGGTAACAAAACTGGAGATCCTGGATAAAGAGGGAGGAAAAATGTGGAACCAAATTAAAAAACACAGAAACAACCAGAATTACTAGTCAGATGGAGACTGGAAGAACCCCTGAGACTATAGTCCTGGCTTAACCTTCAGGCCTAGAAATGGATTCACTCCCATGGATTGGGTCTCAGCACAACAGTAGAAAGACCTACATGCAGAACACCTACCGTAGAGCAATGTACCCACCTACTCTAGGGTGATGAACCCCTTGGAGCAATCAGCTGTGAGACACTAGAGGGGAAGCATTCTCAAAATAAATAAGTAAATAAAATTAACTACATGTAACAACAAGAATGAATGACATAAACATGACATTGAATAAAATAATCAAGAAAAAATAATGCATATAATATTTTACATTATTGTGTGACATATATAAGTTGATTTGTACAATATTGAGTTTACTCATAAGTTGAAATATAGGCAAACTCAGTTATATTATTTAAGGATGCAAATAAAATAAAACAAATTATACAAAAAATTTAAAGAAATACAAAATTCAGACTAATGGTTACTGAAAAGGGAGGCGAGGCATATAATCAAAAGAAGCATATATGAGGCTTTTAGGCTGCTTGATGCATTTTATTTCTGAACAAGAGTAGTGGTTGTTTCCTTTACAGTAATCCACTAAACTACCCATGTGTTTTAACACAGTGTTCAATGTCTGCTGTTCACACTAACACAATAATGAAAAAAAGCATTAAGATAGTTTCAACTTCCCTAATTTTCTTTCTTTTTTTTTTTTCCTGATAAGAATAATCCCTATGTTTGTTTTGTGGTAGTTTTTCTGTATCTTCCATCTCATCACTGGGAAGAAACACCCACTGAAGAGACATTTACCCTCTGTGCAGTCAACTTAATACAGTTAGAAATTTGTTGTTATAGACTCCATATGCATCATCAATTACCTTGGATTTTTCTCTACCAAAATTATATAAAACTGGCAAATCCAAACCTTAGAATAAAACATTTCTCTAGAGGCTTTTATATTTTTCCTTGAGAAAGTTATTGTCCCTGCATTTCATGACTCCTTTTTAGGAGTTCAGTTAGCTTCTTCTTACATATGCTCTGCAGTATGTATCAAGAGTTCATTTCCTAAAAACATTATTTACTTATTGCATGGCACATATAGAAGGTGAAATACCGTAATGTCACATTTTGCAGACTTTCCCTCTTACTATATGTGAAATTATCTGTGATAGTTGGAGCTGTGTGTCAACTTGGCTGGACCCCAGTTCTGTGTGGTTGTTCCCATGATGGGATCAGATGACTGTGTTCTGAGTGGCCAGTCTGCCCAAGGGGAGTTTCCCTAGGGGTGTGGCCTGCTTCCAAGATATCCAAGGACATTCTGGGAAGAGCCGCATTCCTTGAGGGGTTGGAACCCTGGTGTGAGAACTACAGACTTCCTTGAGTGAGCGGCCCACCGCTCGGCCTGGAGATCTCGGATTCGTCTTTTATTGGAGTCAACAACCAGTGTACTGCATGCCAGCTTGAATCTCTGGGCTCCCCTGTGCTTGTGGAAGCCAAGGTGGCCGCAAGCCCCATCTCCTCCAGAGACTTGGACTTTTCGGCTTGGACTTGTCAGCTTCTATACGCTTCAGGGGGACCACTATTGGAAGTTATCTTATGGATTTCAACATGTGATTTGGGCTTTCCCCACACACACACACAACCTTCAAGCAACAGGCAGCAGCAGCTGTCTCAGAAGATCTCTTCCATGTGTATCCAGGTCATTTGGATAGCTTAAAGGCAGGAGCACTCCTGTCAAAGCCTCCCTTGGAATCCCTGTTGAGAATATGTGGATGCTGGGCTCCATCCCAATGACTTATGCCTGGTTTCTAAAGATGGGTATCTCTGAGCATCCCCAGCTCTCTCGGCTGCCAGACCCCATAGCTCTCCAACCTTCTCAGCTCAGCACAGCTGAC